ATAATCAATAAAAGAGTAATTTTCTCCCGGTAGGTTCTCTGCAAGATTCTTCCACTTCCATAACTCCTCCAATATGTCTAGTCCAATGAATATGAAATCACTATAGTGCTGAGTTTCGCCCACACCTCCAACGCCCTCTCCCCGAGACATAACAAACATAAGTGTGGGGTCTGATAAAACCGAATCTTCCACCTTCACCGTTGCAAAACAATTTGCCTTGATGCGATCAAAGACAAGGGTACCCAATTCCCCAGGCATCCCTACAACATCAAATGAATCGTCCAATGGCTCCAATACGTAATGCTTCAGGCAATCTCCCGCCTCACCAACAACCTGTCTAGCACTTGCAGATATGCCCAACAAATGATGAGAACCTTTTTGGTAATGTCTTCTTATCGGCGCCATGCTGTGCCGTTCGGGCATAATGGCGTGCGGCTGAATCTCTCCCTCCCTATGGGAGCTGCCAAGTAAGTTATCGACCAGACGAAGCATCCGCTCCGCAAAGAGTTCCTTCACATCCAGAGAGACGGCATCATTGCGGTTAAAGTTTTCTCCAAGTCTGTGCACAATTCGGTCAACACCTCGCAGTGCTGAAACATCGTGGATAAGCAGAGACGCCTTTGCCGGTACCGCTGGCGGTGCTACCCCATCGCGTTTCTCGCCTTCGCCAGATTGCCACAACTCCTTCTTTTGAAGGGATTTAATAAAGGCCTCCCTCACGTTGTCCTCAGCAACCTCAACCATAGTTGCCAGCTGCGTTGCAATACTTGATGCGATCTGGTCGGCGTATGGATTTGGCGGGTGGGATGCGATGTAGTTGTCCGTAAACACTAAATAGTCAATGCACTTGCAGAGAACCTCCGGATTCTTCTCTTTGCGTGCCAGCACAAGCCGCAGTGCGGGCGGTGGATGATAGCAGCGTGCCGCTCGGGACATCTCCTCGATGGTGGAGGCAATATTCTCCCGCGCCACTTCCCACGGCTGCACATCGGCCGCAATGCGACGCGCGCGGTCTGCAATCGCTTTGGATGTGTCGGCAAAACTCTCAAGTGTTTTGGCGCTGCCAATGTGCAAAGCGTTCAGCGCGCTGATTTGTTCGTCCAGCGCCGAAAATCCCGCCATTGTAACTGCAGCAACGCAAATAACACATCCGAAACAAAAAAAGAAAAAATCAAAAATTATGTTTCCCCCCACAAATTCACACCCACGCACACAGTGAGAAAAAGAAAAAAAGAAAGGGGAACCATCTCAGGAAAAAAAAGTGTTCAAAAATTGAAAATCTCACGGCTCAAGATGAGGGCGAATCGCCGTCATGAAGTTTTCTTGAAATGATTCATCACTGAAGCGCATGATTGCACTTAATCCTTGCTCCTGAAAACTCTTGTACATCTGTGGCCTTTGCATTTTCATTTCAAATATCTCCACCATGCGACTGGCGTATTCCTCTTCGGATGAGGCCAAAAAGCCAACATCGGGGGACGTGATAATGTCAAGACACACGCCACCACTGTTATGGGCAAGCGGGATGCAACCACAAGCCATGTACTCCACGACAACGATCCCAAAATGTTCATCTTCCATTGTATGCAGCCCCATGCAGCAGGTGGAGAGTAACTCGCCTACTTCAGAGAACGGCACCCCAATTCGCACTTCCACGCGGTCAGAGATGCCTCTTGATTTCGCCTCCTCCACGACATCTTCCGCGCGTTTTCGATCGTCAGCAGCACGAGCTCCTCCAACCATAATAAGTCGTGCATCGGCTGGCAGACGAGGAAGAGCTTTGGCAAAGGCGCGCAGCTGAAGAAGATGATTCTTCTCTGGTCTAAACTGGCCGACGCTGACAATGGTGTTGACGTGCTGCTCAGGCGGTTTTCGCAACGGCATAAATTGATTGACTGCACACGGAGGGTAAACAAGTGCTGGAACGACAGGCTTCCATAGTTGCTCAATGTGTCGCATCGTCCACCGCGAGTTGGTCATGGTGAGGACCGGGAACTGCCCTAGCCACCAGTAAAAACAAGCAAAAAGTTTGTAGTACACGACTTTCGCTTGTCGCAGCGTGTGATGACGCGCCAAAAAACCCCGGTTGTTGTACCGGCTCTCTCCACTTTCCACCCGCTTTGTCATGATGGATGTGATAGAGGGATAATGTGTGTAGCTGATGATGCGGGTGCCCGCCAAGAGGGCAAGAAGCGGGTAGATTCCTGGAATGCCGACACTCTCAATGACGATAGGTGTTATGCTATTTACAATACATGTTTCATAAAACAACACAACACTGCCGCACACGGCCTGCAGGAGAAGCGTCAGAAACGGGTAATGCTCACCGCTGAGCAAGCGCGTCAATGAGGGTCTTAAAAAGACCACTTCAATAGGCATCGGCAATAAAATATGAAACTGCTGCTGCACGATCTGCAACAGACGTTTTTCTCCCCTTTTATCATCATCCACACCGTCTTCCCCGATACGTGAGCAGTAGAGAACATAGCGGCGTGTAATGCCCCGTCTCATATCGTCCAACTGAATAGCGCGCATGGCAACCCACAACACCCGCTCTCCTCCCCCACCTGCTGCGGCGGAAGGGTGCAAAAAGCCGACTGTCCCACGCACAAAGCGTCGTTTTCCACGGCGCGCAGTCATTCCAACCGCCGCAGCGAGGCTTAAAAGAAAAAGTACAGCCGCTATCGTCCCGGCAAGAAGCATGACTCACTAATTCCGCCGTATTCAATGCACTCCCTATACCCAGAGACATACAAAAGAATTCAAAACAAAAATAATAATCATCAACCAGAGGGTAGAGAAACATGGGTAAGGAAGCAGGCCACCGCTCTCACCTCCTCCCTCCAGGAAAAAGGGGAAGCGGCGCTAAAAGGCAGCAACAAGAAGAAACTATTGTTGCCAAAATAAAAACAATTCATAACAAAAATACAAAAGAACAACAAGATCTTCATCAAAACAGAAATGTCGGACCTCACGCCTTGAGAGAAGTCTTGAAGTGGTTCTTGATTCTGCGGTTCACCTCCTTCAGGTAGCGGCAGCGGCCTGTGCCAGTGCGACGGCGTTTGATGGCCTTGACGGACCAATTGTAACGGCGGCGGCTCGCGCGTGGGTAGGCGCAGGCCGCACAGCGCTCCCACTGAACGTGGTATGCGTTGCGGCCGCAGCGGCGGCAGAGGATGTGGGTGCGCCCATGGCGCTGGCCCATCGACGTGGTACCCTTCGTCATCTCTCCTCACACTCAATGAGTTCCTTCAGAACAAAAAGAATGGTGCAAAAAAGAGAAAAAAAAAACAGTAACTACTGGCCCACGACACAACTGAAACATCGCGCCAGAAACAGGAGCAAGCGAGAAAAAAGGGAACCAAGCAACAACAAGAACAACAAAGCCACGACACGGCCAAAAGTAGAAGTGAGTGTGTTTATTTCAAACACATACAGGTGGAACAAATAAAAGTGCCCAAACACCATCACAATAAAAATATTAAGAAGGCTACTCGCTTCGATTAAGAAGATTCTTCGCGGCTGTGCAAAGCCACGCATCACACGAATCATCACCATCCTTATCCACTTCCACCTGCTTTCCAGAGGCCCTGTTCGTTGCTTGATCAATGATATCAGCTGACAATAGAACCGGCACATGCCAATGCGTCCGTGAAAGCAGTCCCCGCTGAACCCACACGGAAAAGGGCCGAGGCATTGCAAGCAATAACGTCGCAGTACCCGTCGCTCGCTGAAACAAGGCCTTGTACGTTACACGATGCCGCTGGCGCCATCGTAGAAACGATCGCCGACTAAGCAACATAAAATGATGATCACGCATCAGATCGTTCGAGACAAAAAGACAATCCGGCTTGCAGATGGCCGCATAAAGCCAACAGTAGTCGTCATTCATAAATCCCGGACAGGCAATCAGAGCGGAGTCGGCTTTCCACTTTAGAAGCCACTCACTACTCTCCTTAGAAGGAGACTCCACGTGACGTTTATGCAGCATCACCAACGGTTTTCTACCAACACATCTCGTCTGCGCTAACATTTCATCAATGAGAGAAAACTTTGGTGGGACATCAACAGGTAATGGCACCTCACAAAGTTGATACTCTGGCACGGTCGTCGGGTCCACACCACGCGCACGCAAACACAATTCCTTTGCCTCTCGATACCAACTACTAAGGCCATAATACCCAACATTTGCGCCATCAATAACAACATCGTAATCGCAATTTGTAAGTGTCTCTTTAAACGCCTCAAATTCACGCCATCGCCGATCCTTTTCGGCAGGTGTTACAATTCTCTCCGGCTCATAGTGATTTTCACCCCCCACCCGTGGGGCTATAAGCTTTGTTTCAATATCACTTAACAGCGTGGCTCGATCTATTGAAGTAAAATCAAAACTGAAAAGTTTCGTCCCACACCGACTGCATTCCCCTGTCTTATCATTGATTTCTGCCATTTCGCCCCCCATCATGTGCTTCAGTGCCTCAGCGTTGCGTTTACCCACAACCGGGTGGTGGTCTACCATGGCCTCCAGCAGCTCATCCAGCAACTTTGTCGTATTGCCGCCCTCCGTCGCAGCATGTTGAATGGTACAGAGCAACTGATGATAATCCGCATCCCAGAATTCAATCTTCTTGTTCTGCCCCATGCGCAGCGTATTGAAGGCAAGTGCGGTGTCCTTGGTTCGTGCGGCGTGTTGAAGTAACGGGAAGAAAAGTCGCCTCTTATGAGCCCCTTCTGGAAGCATTGCAAGAATTTTATTCATGAGATCCACGTCCACACTTGCCGATCGGCTAAGAAGACGAAGCGAGACGGTGGCGACTTTCTCATCAAAGGCATTTTTGCGCAACGCGGGGTCTGCCTGCAACACCTCCCCCAAAAGCGACTGCCCCTCCCCCACCAACCCATTTTCCGACCATAAGTACAAAACTTTGGCCAACGCCGAGCTACGGGGGAGAGTGCCATGTTTTTCCACACATTCCTGGAGAAAACTGGAGAGAACAGGAACCGCGGCTGCATCGTTGATTGCGCGGTCCCCGAGTCTCGTAAAGACTTCGTTGATGAATTCAAATTGCTTCAACCGACGTTTCGGCCTCGTTTGGCGGTTGTTCTCCTCGATCATTTCCTGAACCGCTGGGAGGCTGCTGAAATCCAACGGTATGCTCGGTTCCACCCGCATCCGGCCTCGCGGCGGCTCACGAGATTTCGTCATCTTCCATACAAACTTTTCCTCGTCTCCAATTGAGCAATAACAAAACTCAACAAACACGCCCGCGATTGCACTCACTGGCAGTCCATGAGAAAAGAAAAAATGCAAACAGGAGTAAAACCAAAAAAAAAAAAAAAAAGAAAAAAAAAAGCGAAGGACATTCGCATCTCAGACAAACGAGAAAAACAAGCGCAAAAAAAAAAAAAACAGCAAATAAACAGCGATAAGAACAGTAAACGAACCGAGCACGGCCAGGCAGACGCAGCGAGAAAAACAAACGGACTCCCCGGCTCCATTAAAAACTGGAGCAGAGAGACTGCAAAGCAGGCTAAAAATACATAAAGAGCTCAGTGGAGCCTAGGGAAAAGATTTCTCCCCAAAACAATAATAATAATAATAATAATAATAATAATGATAATAATAATAATAATAATAAGAATAAGAATAAAATTCCAACTTCCACAAAGGCACACAAACTGAAATGGCAAAAGGACATAATATAAGGCGGCGTTCAACAATTTATTGATGTCGACAACACCTCCTATCTTATCCCTGTCCTCGCAAAGGGAAATTGTATGTATGTATGTATATTACATATATATTACATATATATATATATCTTTCCCTTCCCCATCTCAGTGCAGTGGGACGCGGATGACATCAATGGAAAAAAGGTTCTTCAACTTCAGTGAGAGACACTCCTTATTATACTCAGCCGCCACAACTTCGCGTTTCATTGCTCGGAGACGTTTTCGTGACTTTTCTTCTTCCCTGATTCTCTTTTGGGTAGGCTTTCGGTCTTTATTCCCCTCCACGAGACGCTCATGTTCCTCAAGAGCCACTCTATACTCACTACTTAGGTGGTTTATTTTTTCCACAGCAGCATCATACTGATGTAGTGTTTCCAGTTGACGCTCTGTGAAGCATCCTCTAAAACTTTGCGGTGCATCCCGTGTACTGTACGTGATGACACCATGAAACTCCGCAGGTGCATTCCCATAAATCTTCTGAAGCTCCTCCCGAAGAAGTTCTTCGAATTCCGCGTAGTTTCTTAGCTGACTTAAGGGCGCCAAATCGACGGCGATGTCGGCATGACTTTCACATGCGCGGAGATGGGGACGCTTAAAAAGAAGCATTTGCTTTTCAAATGTTCGTAAGAAAATAACGGGTAAAGCAGAAGAAAAGAATGGTTTACAACAGAGTACCCAATGGAGAGAAAGAGAGAAAGGGAAAAGGCACACATACAGAGAGTCTCACATGCACTCGGCTGTATGCATCGCTTGGGTGTTTACTTTCTTTAAAGAAGTCTAAAACATATGGAAGAACAACAGAATAATCGCCGCATCAGGTCATTATCAAAAGAATGCGGCAATGTTTCTCTTAGTTTGGAGGTCCATGACGCACATCAAAAACAAAAACAAAAACGAAAACAAAACAAAAAGCACACACAAAAAAAGCAACAACATTTTCCCCTTCCCAAAATATTTTTTTTCCCTTTTCTTTTTTTCTGTTCTTTTTTTTTTTTCCTTCTTCCTGTTGAGGGAGCAGGGAGCAGGGAGGGGAGAAGGGGTTCTTCCATGTTAAAGAAGTCCCTCTTGACCCTTTTTTTTCCCCCCATTTAAATCTGTACGCGTGCGTTTTCTTTTTTTTTTTTTTTTTTTGGTTGTTGTTGTTGTTGAACGGGACTTGAGGAGCTAAAGAGAAAAATAATAAAAATACCACTAACGATATCGTTACATCTCTTCGCCTTCTTTAGCCTGCAGTCACGTATACATTCATTCCAAAGTTGCTGTGCGGATCATTCCGGCATCCTCCAGGGAATCACAGTCTGCAACAAGCGCATTTATGTTATTATAAATATAACCGCCATACATTTCTTCCAGGTTTTGTTTGTAAACGACGTACTCACCTGTGGCACCCTTGCTGATTTCAATGTCATACTCTTCCTTGAAGAAATCCCGTAGGGCTTCGTGGCTATCTATAGCGGTTTCACTGGACTGTCCTGTATACCCTCGAAACCGGTCAAAGTCCTCATACGTCCAGTACCTTTTGCCTCCGTCAAAGCAATTAAAAATCATGTTTATCAGTGGCATGTCTTCATCAGTTAGAAGAAGCCGAAAACCCTCATCCTCCGCACGAGCGTACAGCTCACGGCAATTCACACAGTACATCTCGCCGCTCTCTTCATCAAATTCGAGGTCTTCAATGCCTAAGCACCGCTGGTTGGCGCAAACCTGGAGCACTATGATATCTTCCTCGTCATCGGACATGGTTCCCTTCCGTCTCACTCTCCCCGCACTACCGAAAAGGTGGAAACGCACAGCAATAATAAAAAACAGTAAAAGGAAGAAAAAAAACATATCACAGGAAAAAAGGGCAAACACCACACAACACAACACCATCTCTTAAACACACAATAAATGACGCCAACGAACAAACAAACAAAAAAGGCAGCAACATGCAAAAAAAAAAAAAAAAGCAACCACGTGCAATATAATGACTGTACAGATAAACACAAATGGCAGAACTAAGCCATCATTCGAAACCGTGCTACTTTCCCCGTGGTGGTGGCGGTGGTGGTGGCGGAAGACGTGGTGGTGCACTTGCCAAATGCGGTTGAGGCTCATCGCGGGCCTCAGCACGGCTTTCACGGGATGTCTCATTCTCTTCAGTGACCGTCACCGCGGTTTCACATTTCCCTTTTTCTTGCAATAAGCCTGGGCTCTTAGTTTGGTGAGCTCGACTGCTTCCGTGCCGCTTCAACTGGCGCAGATGGTCTTTCTCCGCCTCGAGGCGCAGCTCGTGTACGGAAACAGCGGCTATTCTCCTTTTCCAACGCTCTTGCACCCGGTGAAACAACTGCACCTCCTTTCGTCTCAAAGTTGCAGTCGATGTCGGTGATGAGACGGTGGAGACTTCGAGCATCGCTGGCGTTAAGTCATTAAAGAAAGAATAATGTGACAAAACGCGTAAGTCAGCAGGAATTGTCGGGTGAAAGATTTAAAACAATATATTCTTGATGGACAGGGGAAGGGCCGGGTACCTATGGAATATGCACACAGGAGCTACACTGAATGAACGCGATGCCTTTTCCTCATCATCATCGCTATCCAAGAAAAATGGTTCTCACTGGCACGTCACCTGGCATATAAGCACACGCAACAGCATCACAAAAACACAAGCGGCAAGTGGCCTGCTGCAAGGCCGGCCCTGTTGGCGCATCGGGAAGAAATGGAGTTTTACGTTTTCTCTTCCTCCCGTGAAGACGCGCAACGGCAGACGAATAGTGCGTGGAGCATTTGCTGGTCCACAGTAACACCACACAACTGTAAGAGAACAACACCAAACAATAAGATATCAAATGGTGTGCGCCGCGTGGAGATTTCCTCTTAATCATCCCTATCCGTATACATCGCTGGAAAGCGGGTTGTCCCGGCAAGAATGTCCTCCACATCCGCAGGAACCACCCCATGTAGTTCTGTTTGCATAAGGTTGTTAATAAGCAAAAAAGGAACTGATATGCGGTGTTGATGAAAACTGCGCAGGATATAAAGAAGCTTGCGCCCAACAAGCTGCACATCTTGAAGGCTAAATGGTTTCACCTCAGTGTTTCTAAACGGCTTTCTGTCCATAGCAAGGGGCCGTTGAGAACGCAAGATATCACGCAGACTTCCCTTCTGCGATAATGGATAGACGGCAAAAACACGTGACGCTGCGACATCAACATACAAGGGTACGTAAAATACACTGGAGTCCAATTTATTAAGTTTCACTCGCCACAGACACACTTCATCCTCGCTTGGAGCAAATTCCCCCGCCGTGTTCTGCACCACGAGGAGTAGCTCTTTCCCAACAGAGGCATCGGCTACGAGGATGCGAGTCTTTCTCGTCTCTTCCAGGAGTGGTAGTATAACGGCTCGGAAAACAAAGGTTGTTCCCCTAAGTCACATGCGGGCGGCAATCACATTGGCATCGTTTGCTTCCGGTTTAATCCCTGGCACTGTCATAAAACAAATGACTGCCCATTTTTTATATTCCTCTCGCTTAGGAGTCTCCTCTTCTCGTTGCTCCCGACACATGTCCTGCTCAAGTCCAATAAGACTGAGGAAGTCCGGATCGTTACACAACAAACGGTGGGAAGTCACACTGTTTAAGAAGACTTCAAGCGATACCCGAGAATCCTCCAAGTAATTGGCATCAAAGCCCCCAAAAAACCCTGAGAGCGCAAGTGGTGGGAGCTCTATTTCGGCTAAAAAGGCACGCATCTTGGCATGCAGAAGGAGACACTGCGAATATCTCTGCTCAATCACGATAAGTATTCGTGTGGGGCGCTCCGGATCCATAGTGCACAACTTCAACACAATATATTCTCCGGACGACGAAGCATCGACCACGTTTAGTCGAATCGTGGGATATTTCGACATCATGCCACTCCCATGTCTTTTTACACGCCCACGGATCCACGCCAGAAACAAATTCCCCCGCCCTTTCGCATACAAACAAACAAGTAAACAGGGAAAGATGACAAAAAAAGGTATACACCACTCATCAAAGCTTGCAACACCCTCACTGATCCATCTTCTAGCAGAGTTCATCATCATTCCTCATCAAGAATGAGCAAGAAATAAAAATAAAAAGGCAACGACTTAACTCCCATAAGTGCATCGGTGAAAAAGGGGCATTGTCCATGTTAAAGACGCGAGCTATCAAATGGATATTACACAAGGCACCTCACGTACTCAACAGTACACGTAGACACCGTCATGTATATACGTTGAACTTCTTGAAACGTTGGGCGATGTGTAGTTAGTGGCGCCTTGCGCACACGAGGATCTTTCAAGCTGACAGGCGAAACCGCCCGTTCACCATTTCCTGTCGTGATGGCTGGCAACCCTGAGAAATCTGTCAGCACGGCACGGTTATGCGGTCCTGGGGCAACGTATAGCACAATGGCTGCTGCATCAATGTAATTGCGCCAGCTCAGCAATATATCCCTGACGTCCGCTTTCCATTTAACTTCTTGAGCCCGTCGAATTTGAGACCCCACACTACCATAACTACCGCCTTCCTTCTCATTTGAGGACTGCTTCCCTCCCTGCTTCTTGCGCACCACGTAGCGCTGGAATGCCTTGTGGACCACAGGCTTCTTGTCCAGAAAGACACCCCCAGCAAAATAACCGCCGTGGCACATGAGAATCACCCACGGTAAAAATGTGAACGAACGCAACGAATCACACAACTTGGGTGGTACATCCAATGGCAACAAATTACTTCCACTTTCTTCATCTTCCTTTCCCTCCTGTGCGGCATTATACTCCGCTACGAGTTGTTTGGAAAGCTTGGCGATAACGGATGCTTCATCCATTTCCTCCAATTCCACTTCATCTTCTGCATCTTGCCGCTCTTCATGCCGGATTTCCCCACTTACATTACACGGAGGCTCATCATCACCATCCGCCTTCACAATTTCCAAACTATTCTCCGCAGCCACACAATTACTTGCTGTCGTTGAAGACACACCGTACGTGAGTGCCGTCACGACAGCACGGTGTAATGTCACACGGCATTGACACAATATGCCATCATAATCCACGGGTGAAGTAAAATCCAGACGAACCAATGGCGTATTCGGAACCATCAAACATCGTCCCGGGCCAAGAACCTCCTGCGGTATCTCACTGCTGCTGCATTCGTTGTACTTGGCCAATACTTCAACTTCCACGTCGGCGGTTTCTGCGACGGTTGCTATGTCTTTTTCTTCCTCCTGTGCTACAGCACCTTCTGGAGTGAGATCGGATGTCCCCCCTATCCCTTCCTTCTTATTAGTGGGATCTGCCTTTGCCTGCGTCTTTTTATTACTTGTATTGCGTCCTCCCTGTTTCTTCCTTCCGTCGCGTTTCTTTTCCATCTCCTTCTCCGCCGCTGCCACTTCATCCAAGTCGTTTTCCATCCCTTCCGCGTCAAAGTCCACATCAAGCAGCGCATCCACAGGGTTGCTTTTCCGTATTACCATTTCATTCAAATCCTGCTCCAGCCTGTCCATCTCGCGCAGCAGTCGCTCCACGTACTCCCCAGTGAACTGGCCGAGTTTCATCCGTGCCTCCTTGAGACGCTCCACGTTGGCCAAGTATGCGTTCTCAGCCTCATAGACGTTTCTCGGAGGAATCGCCAGCGACCTCCTAGTAAGTGCAATCAGGCTCTCCACCTCAGCAACGCTTGGCATCCTTTCCTTCATCCTTGCAATTTCACAACACATGCAATTCATTGCGGCCGCCGCATAAAACAAACAAACAAACAACAAAATAACACACAGAAAAGAATAAGCCATTTCAATTCAAATTCGGCAAGGGAGCAAAAAAGATGGTAAGGAGACAACGAGAGCCGCTCCGTGCCTCTCTTTTCTCTCCTTTTCTCTCTCTCTCTTTTTTTTTTTTTTTTTTTGGCCTATTTTTAATTCGGCAAACAAATGTTATTGGATCAAAAGGAAAAAACGAAACAAAAAAAAAAAAAAAAACGCAAAATACAGTAAAAATTAAAAAGTAATTGAATGAAAATCCGCGGAAATAGAGGACGATAAATACTGAAATGGAACACAAAAAACATCCACACAGAAAAAAAAACAAACAAACAACAACAACAACAACAACAACAAGTCATTTACAGGTGTCAACTATCAATGAATATATATTTCGTCATCGCCCATTACAATAAACACGGCCAACACTCAGCGCAGAGCCCCTTTGGTTTTACTACCCTCCATTATAAAACTGGCATCGACAGGGGCGTCGTTGAGCTCCGCCCCTTTACAGAGCCAACTCTCAGTGGGTAAGGCATAACTCGGCGTCCTCGGCGCACGGCTAGCGCTTGGGCGTCTGGCGCTAGACGTTCGCCGTTGTCTGTACAGCGGACGCTGTACATTAACACCAACGGATTGAAGCTGCGAAGTTGGCACTATGGAGTTAAACGCCTCACGGTGATCATTTAAAGGAAAATCTCTCCCTTCGATTCGTGGAGCGTTTCCCATCAACACCTTCGGAGCCACAACTGGTTCCCTCATGGAGCGTTCCTTGCAGTACGTATCAATCCTTTCTCCCTTTTCTCCTGAGACATTCAAACTATGCGGTGGTTGAAATGAACCATCCAAATCTCCTCTTTTTTCATTGGAATCCACACAACGGCTTTCAGATTGCGGACGCACAACATCTGCTAATCTCTCCAATATACCATAAAGCGAGGCAACCGAAATAACACCATCCTTTCGATCCTGACCCTTAGACTTTGATTTTTTCCTCTCACCATGTGACCGAGATTTAGGTCGCCCAGTGGAAACTACAGGAGAAACTTTTTCAGGCATATTTGACTCTCCCTGTACAGTGCTTTCATTGTTCTGCATTGCATAGACATAGGGTGGTTGACGCGACAAACGCTTCAAAGCACACGCAACAGCATCAGGGTTTAGCGTTAAAACAAAACACTTGACCTGAAGCGGCACAGAGGCAGTCGACTGCTGCAAGGCCGGCGGGTCAGGACGATGACCAATCTTGTTTGGCGCATCATGGGAAGAAATGGAGTTTGTAACAATATTTTTCTCTTCCTCCTGTGAAGACGCATTTGGAGCTGGCCTCTGTGAGGTCGCTTCTGCAGACGGCAACGCAATTGTTGACTGTGGCACAAGTGACACGTCAACAGGGTGATGTTCAGCACAACTCATCGGAACGTAAGAGGATGTGGTGCCTGTTCTAGTATTTTCCCCTTCATAGAGAGAAGTGGCGGGTGAAACTTTTGTTTCCGTTCCCACTTCATTTTGTCCTCCATCCGATTCCACGGCACTAATAACTCCATTGGCAACAGGCATACTTGCGGCAGGGGTTGCCTTCTCAGCACCTAATAATTCCCTGACCTCTGCAACGGCTGCATGTGACTGTCTAATCATTGAGCCCCATCCCGGAGCTCCTCTATTAAATACCTCAATGCTTGGGTGTTCTGGGGTTTGATGCGTGCGAATACCCATCGGGGAGTTGGACCGTGTTATTGAAAGATCCGTATAGAATGAATTTTGTCGGTCTGTGTACACCTCTACTGGAGTAGAACGTCGTGAAGCTGAAAGAGGTAGAGGTGGAAGTCTATTCGTGTATTCGGGAGGCGATGATGGAAAGCCGTCACGTGCCCTCGTGGCTGCTACACGAATCCCGGGGGTGACATTCGAAGGTGGTGTACAGACGGCTGTGCTGGACCCGTTTGACAGCTCCGACTCTCGCGATGGACAAAACACCCGCTGCGTCATATGCTTCGAATTGGGGAAGTACGCAAAGTTTGCGGCTGCGTTTATCCCCTCTTCTTCAAAACTCGAATCCAATGCGGCACCAAAGTAGTGCGCCAGGTAGGGATTTTTGCGCATTTCCCCTAAGAATGTACTATAAAAATAAAAATAAAATAAAATAGAGTAAAAAAGATAATTATCTGTTGGCGGTGTCATGAGGCACGGCAATATATATATATATATGTGGAGAGAGAGTGAGAGAGCAGAGCAGAACAAGCAACAGCAAAACGACAGGAAAAGGAGGAACCAACAAAGCAGCCAAAAAATTGTGGTACTCTTCTCCATCTCATCGCTCCCGCTCCTATTTTTTTTTTTTTTCGTTTTCTTTTTTTTTCTTTCTTTACTTAAAAGAATTTTTTACTTGTAATCTCAAATATTGAAGATATTAAAAGTACACGCATACAATGCTTTCTGTTTTTCTGACTGTTTTATCCCCTCTTTTTCTTTTTTTAATGTTTTGTTGAGGCTTGCGAGGGCCAAATTGGCAGAGCAATGGCCATTACTTTTACCGAATCATTAACCTTCCACGGGTGTTTAAGTTACGCGGTGGATTCGTGCGCCTTTAGGACGCAGAGTGCCTCAATGACCTTCTCCTGAAGAAGCCTCTGGTTAGTTAACAGTGTAAAGGCCTCCTTGAGATCCATCTCAAGGAACATGCCGGTGATTTTAGGTGCGTGGTCTGGAGCGATTTCAAAGACCTTGATGTATAAGCGGTCTCCTAGGGCGGCACGCTGCTCGTCAACCGACATAGACCGTAGATCTTCGGCAGTGATGGGCGGTAGCGGCGGGGTATCGGGTGCGACACCAGGCGATGGCTGTGGAGTGCGCGGCGGTGCAAAGGCCATGGATGGCGTGGCAAACATATCCTGTTGCACGGGCGGTGGCATCGGTGGGGGTGCCTGAATTCGGCCGGCGCCGCCACCACCAACACCACCACCACCACCACCACCACGCTGTGTGCCCCGCGCGTTTCGACGCTGAGGAAGGTGGCCGTGCGAAACAAACGGCATGGAATGCATCCTTCGCATCATTGCCTGTAGGCGTTGCTGGAATTGCAAACGTAGCATCATGAACCGTTGGTCCCGCCTCTGGGCAATGTTAACAATAAGCGGTTTACCGTTCAACATTCGGCCGTTCATTTCACGCAGTGCAGCATTCGCCTGATCGGCATTTTCAAAGCTGACGAAACCGAAACCACGACTGTTACCGTTTGCATCTGTCATCACCCGACAGCTCCGAATGACACCATACTCCTTGAACAGTTCATGCAGATTCTCCTCGGTGAATTCCGGGTCAAAATTACGAACGTATAGATTGTTCCCAAGAGTCTGGCACTGCATATACTTTTGCCTCAATGCGATTAGTCGTTCACTTCGTGGTTGAGCACGTTGCACGTAAAGCTTTTCCCCTGGTGGCACGACACCATCCACAAACTGTTCATGAGATGCTTCAATCGCTTTCACCGCATCCTCGTGCTTTTCAAAGTTACAGAAGGCAAACACACGACCATTTTTATCCTTGCATGTTGCAGAGCTTGTAATGCCACCAAACTTGGAGAAGAACTTCTCAATGACCTCCTTGTCTACGGTCGGCAGCACCTGCTTTATGTAAACGTTCGTAAAGTTTGCCACAAGAGTCGCAAGGCGAGCGTTTCGACGGATAAAGTTGGCAACATAAAGTCCCATTTTCTTCTCCTCGTCGGCGTGATCCTTTTCACCGTTCATGTTTTCAATGGCCTCTTTCGCAGCGTTATCATTCTTGAAGTGCACAAACCCGTAGCCACGGCTTTTGCCCTCCTCGTCCTCCATCACCTTGCAGGAAAGAATGTCGCCAAATTTCTTAAAAATAACGCTGAGCTCACGACTGTCCACTTCGTTCTTGAGGTTCTTGACAAAAATATTGCCATTCCCACTGTAGCGCAGGGTCGGGTCGCGCTGTTGCCACATGATGCGCATACACTTGTCGCCAACCCGCTTGAAGTTCAGAGCCTCCATAGCCTTGGCGGCGCTGTCGTGACTGTTGAAGTTGACATATCCGTATCCCAAAGAACGTTGGGTGATGATGTCACGACAGACGCGCACATTCAGAATGGTGCCGAAGGGCTTAAATAGCTCCACAAGATGTGGCTCAGTAACGACGGGATCGAGGTCACCGACGTAAAGCGATGCCACCTGCAAAGCCTTCGTCGTAACAGGGACGGTTGGTGTGATTTCTTCCTGCGTAGCGGCCATTGGTTTATTTACTGCCAGCATGCTTCTTTCTACTTCCTTTATTTTGTATATGTTTTTTTTTGCTTCTTAATTTCCTTTCGCCCCTTCTCGTTTAAATTATTTTTTTCTCCGTTCACGCGCACTGTTACTTTAAATGTATTCGAGCTTCCAGCGCCCCTTTTTTTCCTCCCTCTTCTTTTTTTTTTTTTTTTTCTGTTTTGAAAAAAAACCTTCTCACTCCGCCTGTGACACGTCCTCCTTCTTTGGTGGTGGCGGTGGCTGAGGGTTCGATCTCGAGGGGATGACAACAAATCCCTTCCAGCAAGAAAAAACAACAACAACAAAAAGTGCGCATCCCACACACACACACAGAGAAAAAAAAAAAAAAACATCAGCGGCAGCAACGATACAGACGGTAGCCCGGCATTTCTCCACGATCCCCCACCACACAAAGGCACGGATACATACACAAATATATAAACAGAGATAAATATAAATATAAATGTATACATTTGCATCGAGGAGGCGAAGATAAATACATCAAAGGAGGGCAGAAGCTCTGAAAGACTAAAAAAAAAAAAAAAAAAAAAAGAAAGAAAGCAAACACACACACACAGACAAAGAAAAATGATTTAAAAAAGTCGTAATATTTGTTAGATGAATGAGTTGACATCAACAACCCTCTCGAAGAACTTCTCCCAATAGACTACGCCGAAAGAGTGATGCATCCAATTCATGTGGAAATTCCAGTGGCCCGTCAAAAAGGCCCGTCGCACCATCGTTCCAGTTCTTCACCACCTCAGCAACGTGAAGGGCAGCCATGCAAACAAAACACCCGCAGTCCACATCGTTTCGTTGAGAAGGAAACTTCATGATTGTGCTACTCCGTGGCATGTGGTCCGTGCACGTGGAACAGCTATAAAGCAGATGGAGAAATGATAAGCAGCGATCCTCGTTCTTGTCGCTCAGACTGTCCAGACGAAAGGCATCAAACGGCACATTGACACTCATCCGTTGAAGAAGAAGAACGCTCCAGTGAACACCATTAAAACCTACTGCCTTATATTCCGCAATTGGAATGACAACAATCAACACGCGACATATCTCATCCACAGGCCCCAATGAGGCATCCTCAAAGGCGTACATCGTGTGCGCCACGGCCGGGTCCAGAAAGTAAACCACATCCGGGCGCTGTGCAATTGCGGCTGCCTTGACAAAAACATAGTTGATGACTCCCTCCATCAAAGGATTGCCCTCGCAAAGAGACTTCACGTCCTCCTCATTAATCTCAATTCGACTCATATATATTTATATATACCCAGTGAAAGTTCTTCAATCTCACCCCGCAGTTACTCACTCATCCAACCATCCATCCACCCAAACAGAAATGAAATGCGCACTCCACACACGCACACACAAACACGGACTCTCTCTCTCTCTCTCCCCCCCACTCCCTGTCTCTCTTACTGCTTCACGGTTAGGAAACAAGGAACACGACAAAAAACCGTAAAGATACAAAAAAAAAAAAAATCAGAGAGAACAGTAAAGGAAAAAAAGAAATGACGCAAAGTAATTTTCATCCAGTTTCTGATTTTTCTTTTTGCCCCTTTACCCCCCAACAAAAAGAAACACACAAACAAATAAAAGAAAAAAAAACAAACAACAACTAAATTTAAACGCCGGCGGATCAGCGTCCTCGCGGAAAACTTCCTCGCCCCAATTTCCCGTGATGCACAAAAAAAAAAAAGAAATAGTTCACATACCAAAGGCGAAAAGCAGCAGCAACCAGGAAAACAAAAAAACGATCCCCCTGCTAGCCAAAGTGCTCAACTCTCTACGGCGCGGTTGCTGGTCTTCGGGTGACAAGAGAGTTTTCGTCCCCCGGCAGAAGGGCCAAAACGTGTTCAACAAATGAAGCCTCCGCACGCGATGCCATTGACTCCGCCAGGCTCAGCGACGGCAATGCACCCGTTCCCACGGTTGGCTGCAGTTTCTGGCGCTCCCTAACCCACTCCAGAAAATTGATCTTTGTAAAAACATGACGTTTCATAGAATCGCAGGGCCACTTCTTCAGCAGTTCGACAAGATCCTTTTGAAGCTCTTCAACGGCCTCCTTAGAGCGGGCAGCCGCTGGCACGCGCAGTTCAAAGGCACGGATTCCATCAATAAGTTTCTGCCTCTCCTTTTCAAGCGCAATTTCATTTGCTCTTTGCATCCACACACTACTCCAAAGAACATCCTTGTTGGGGCAAGGCTGTGCCTCACGCTTCTTTGCGGCAGAACGAGCCCTATTTTTTTTAAACATATCAGCCAATGCGATTAAAGGCGTTTGCCCGGTGGTGGATGCCTCATGCCGCGTCACCATGCAACGGCAAAAATCTCTTGTGGACAGCAACCCATCCAGGTTAAATTGTTCTTCGTAGCCCACGTAATCAAAATTATGCCGCCAGTTTTCTACAACCATAAAATCCACAGGTCTTTCATCAGTAGGCATAGAGTCATTCTTAACGGGTGGCTCAGGCGCCCGTGTGAGATTATGAATCACTCGCCAACTTCGCACGGGCAGTTGCTTTAGCCTCCCCAGGAGGGTCGGAACCCCATTGAGACCTTCGTGAGAGGACAAGGATGTCTCACGGTGAGTTTTTTCGTCATGATCTTTCCCTCCCTCACCTGATTTCCGTTGCTGCTTGGGCTGATGGCGGTGACGCTGCAGGGGCTGACTTTGTTCCTTTTCCCACTTTCGAACTGCCTCCGAGATTGGAGCGTTCGCATCATCTGGGAAGCGTCCCTTGCTAACGGCATTTGTCAATGATCGACTTTTACAAAACGGCTCTGCACTGCGGGTGATGCGTTGCCCCCGGTGCTGTTCCTCCATCCACAGCTCCAGGGCACCTCTTTCTGCCTCCACTGGAGCAGAAGTAGTCGATGCATGGCTAGACTCCACCCATGAGGTGGCGGTTTCTTTCGGGGAAGACCGAGATTTCATATTTAATTTTCGTTTCCTCGTGAGTGCCTCATCAAGTGCGCGTGTCAAATTCTTCAGGTAGATCTGTGATTCGGTCTCATCTTGCTCATCTTCTTCGCTGCCAGTAGCCTCTTGTGCACGTGGGGGAAACGTGGGGCATGCTTTTTGCATAAGCGAAACCATGAGATCACAGTCATCTGCACACAGAACTTTGCGAGGGTGATTACGCTTGATGCGCGGCTCCCTGAGATGTAGCCCGAAGGAGGTCGCGATGCTCGCATCCGTCTGACTCGCATTTGCAAAGGCCAAGCTCATAATGCGCGAAGAAGTAATTGACGGCTGACCGAGTGTCGCACGACGATGAGTATCCATCACGCCACCAGTTACCACTTGATAACCCCGGGGAACTGCGGCTAAAGCCATGCAAGAGGAGAAAAGAAAAAAAAAAAAAAAAAAAAAAAGGAAAAAAAACAAAAAAATGATAAAACAAAGCAAAAAAATAATCATTGGATAAACTCCCCAAGAAAGACAATCAAAATGTGGTAACGATAACTTATCGGCTTCAGAATCCCGTGCTCATATTTGCGTTTTTTTTTTTCTTCTTCTTCTTTCAATGTGTATTATAATGCATTTATGTGTAAAGGTATGCCTATTTACACTTGCTGCAATGTTTATTGTCCTCCACTTCACTACATCTTCAGTCCCTCCACAAGGTGTAACATACCACTCTGCTGAAGAGCAGCACAATAGCGCAGAACGGTATTCATGTGCTTACTCTCCCTCTCCGCATTGGCCAACGCCACCACCTCAAAAGAAAGATCTTGTTGCGCTGTGGGTATCCATGCTTCCGCAACAGCTTCAGCATGAAGGATGATTTTTCCAAGTGCTTGTGCTGCCGCTCGACGCAATTCTTCTGAAGCACGCTGAAGACCCACCAGCCGGCAGACGGATTCCGCCAACTCCTCAGAGGAATCTAACGTCGATCCTGGATCGTTGAAAGAGCAAATTCTTGCGAGTAAGGTCCTTTCAATTGGAGCGACAACACCCTCTGGCGGCACCCGCAGTGTCGTGCACCACAGCAAGACGCCCTCCAACAGTGTGGCCAGAGCCATTGTCGACATTGTGGCGCATCGTTCCAGACTGAGGCAGGGGCTACGAAGAAATGACACTAAGGTTGGGTAATACTCCTCGTTCTCCGCAGCATCCCCAAAACCAACAGTAGTCAGCCCGGTGATGCAATCCACAAAGCAAGCTAGATCCTCCTCCTCTTTTCGGTTTCGGATGTATTCAATAAAGTGATGACGACTATCATTCGCCAGCTGTTGAGAGAAAGACTCATCTTCGTGCCGCATCCCTGAGGCCGCAGAAGCAAGAAGTGAGGCATAGCCACAACGTTGCTTCAAAGAAAACAAAACTTCATCCGAAAAACACTCTTCTCGACAACGTGCGATAAGTCCTGGAAGGGCGGCGTACCGGCAGGATGCAAGGGCCTCCAGCAACTCCACCAATTCGTCCACCTCCCTGCCGCTGATCGTTCCTGTTTTGGTACAAAGCATGGCATGTGAAGCCGCTGTCTGCAGTAACACCTGTGACACCTCCGAATTAAACAACGACGAAAGTGACGTAAGAACACGTGTCACATGTGACATTCTACAGGTCCGGGTCATCAAAAGGCGCATCAATACCATCTCTACTTGCTTGAAAGAAGAAGGAACAAAATTGCAGGCCGCAAGACCCTCCAAAAGGTCCACAATTTCTTCCACAGAGCGGTTTTGCTGCATGGCGGTTCCTATCGCCGTCTCCATCAAATTTAACAGTCTGTCAAAACGGGAATCCAGTTCCCCTGTTGGTGTTTCTGCCCGCATACGCGCCAGTAGGGGCAGTAACGTGTTCACCTCCTTTAAAGTCAAGGAAATTTTGCTCGCTGCTGCCTTGCAAGACAAATGTTGCACCAAATCCACCAAAAGTGTATTTCCATTCACGCGAGCGTTTGGCGCCTCAAGTCGGTCAACAAGTTCCGCCAACTGTGCAGACGATTGCGCGCCCAACGTGACACGGCGCAACCCCTGAGCACTGCGAATACCTAAATTGTAATGAACCAGAGTGTCTTTATTTGTTCGCTCCGCGTGTTTTTGAAGGTCCACAAGAGGAACATAACCTCCTTCGCTCATCACCCGAGTCCGGGGACCATCTAAGCGGTAAAGAAGATATTTACAGCGTGACAAAGCGAGGTGTGAAACTTGTCTGTATTTCGCCCTAAAAGAGACCTCTTCGACGTTTTCTGTGGAATCACACGAGAAAAAGGCGGCGTTCTTTTCCCTGACCTCGACGCAAAAACGCATAATGATGCATATTTCATCTTCTCCCACGTTTTCTAACGCATCTTTTTCCCCAAATGCCTCCACACTCATCAGTCGTGACAACCCTTCCAGGACGTCCCATCGCTCAACCGCCCCTGCCAAATTGGAAAAGGCATAGGCAGTGCTGTCGCCGCCAATGACACTCATGATACGAATGGCTCCAAGCGTTGTGTGAACAAAGGGCATATTCACGAGTATGCAACTTCCATCACCAACGGTCACGCCTTTAGCACCGTTGTGATCTCCGGCTGCAAAAAAAAGATGAAATGGCACCTTGTGGTTAAGACAAAGTGTAGCACACGCGACGAACAGGTCCGATTCGGTCGACAAGGAGCTAAAAAGAGTTGCATCATTTCGTGCGCGGCGTGCCACAACAGCCACTTCGCGGTGAAGATCAAGTGGCAGAAACTCCTCCTCGTTTGTCATGTCTGCCGGATGCATTTTTCGGACACAAAAGGTCGATGCCGCCTCAAGCCACCGAAGCGCGTCAAGCATCTGGCGCACACTCAGCTGTGCGTCTGGCGACAGCTCCTCCACCTCGGCTTCGTCGTCGGGCCAGATGATGTAACGTACATCTTCAAACCGATGACGGATGGCAAGCCAATGCCTTTTTCGTTTTAATCTTCGGTCATAATGCTCATAACCGGGACCCACATTGAGATCTCCATAAAATGGCATATTTTTCATACCTGTTGTGTCCATTAGTACATACTCTTTGCAGAAAGAAACAAATGCTTCATATAGACTACGGAGCGAAGTGGCATCTGGCGACATCTGCAAACACTCATCTACTGCTGATGGCATGTCGTCCTCCATGTCGCCTAAGTCAGAGAAGCTCGTGTCTATTTCCCTCCAGTTACCGGAAGAATTTGTCAATTCCACCTGCGGGTGCGTAATCTCTGCCACAGGAATCGAAAAGTTAAAGGTTCTTCCCTTTTTGTTTGTGTAGGTGACCTTTGTGGTGCCTGGGATACGCCGCGGAACACCCTCCGCGATGCCCTGCTTGACCTGCGGGTGCTTCCCCAGAGGCTGACTAAATCCCCCACGTGTGTGTCGCCCGCCAATAGAAATGAAGCGTCGTCCCCGGCGAGTGACGTCGTGCCAGAAGCCGCGAAACATTCATGCAAACACACACACACGGAGAGAGAGAGAGAGGCCTCGTTGTCCAGGAACTTCGTGTAGGCCCGCCCAGAAACAACGCACATAAGCGAGAAAAATAGAAAAAAGAGGAAAAAAGAGGAAAAAAGAAAAAGAAAAAAATGGTCCAACGCCGCGTCAAAAAGCGCTTTTCAAGGACCATTCAAACCATTACACATTCTTTTCGTTTTGTCACGTTTTGCTCTGTTTTCTACTCTCCCTCTCTTTCACCTCTCCATTTTTATTTCGCTCTGCATAAAAGAAAAGAAAAGGAAAAGTACATAGCCACATCGTTCACCACCACTTAAACCACACACACACACACACACACACACAGCGATGCGGCACCCACGCCGCTGTGCGGGCCAACAACGAGAAAAGAAAAAAAAAAACAACGAAAAAAAATAAAAATGAAATGGCGTAACAAATAATACAGCCGGCGATGTCAACAGACACATACAAACCTTGGATTCGAAGAAAGGCAAAGAACAACAACCACAACATCCACAAACACAAAACAACAACAACAAAAAGGAGGAAACACACAAGAACGAGTACCACTGGAGTAAAGGAAAAGTTATAAAAGTGTACAAAAACACAACTCCGCATTATACAGCCATATACGCACACAGTAGAGAAGAAAAAAAAAAAAAAAAGGCGCGTAGGCCAAAAAGAAAAAAAAAAAAAAAAGCACAGAAGGAGTCGTGAATGAGTGAAAGAGAGTGAGAGAAAAAAAAAAAAGGAAAGAAAGAAAGAAAGAGCAAGAGTAAAACACATAAAAACAAACGCAAAACACACACACAAAAAGGGGAAAATACGTCCCCGCCACTCCAATAAACTACTCGCATAACTTTGGTAATAAAGAGGCCCGGTTCACTGTGGTTTGGTTCCCCGTGGCATCTCCTGTCCCTAAAATCAAAAGGGTTTTCGACGCTGTGTGGCTTGGCACCTGTGAGCACGTGTTGCTCAGCTGAGGGAACATAATTCCCTCTGTTTTCGACTCCATCATCTTCGACTTTTCATTTTCTAATCGCATACGCCTAGCTTTTTTCTCACTTTCTCTTAACGTTTTAAAATACGGGTGTCGCAGCGCGTCCCGTGCCGTTCCCCGCTGCTCTTCGTCGTATGTCAGCAGCTTTGTTAACAAGTCTAAGGCCTCGGGTGAAGCATTCGGCAAAAACTTCGCAAGTCCAGTACCGTTCTTCCGTGGAAATTCGAACTCCATGCGTGTGCCGTACTTCTTCAACTTATTAAGGAATTCAGGAGGCGGGGTGCCAATTATGTTGTGGATCTTGTAAATTTGATCTAACTCATTATTCCCGGGAAAAAGGGGAAAGAGAGTCATAATTTCAAAGAACACACACCCCGCACTCCACAAGTCCATCTTATACGTGTAATAGCCATCTGTCAAGAGACACTCCGGGGCACGGTACCAGCGAGTGGAAATGTATTCTGTCAATGGCTGCCTAGAGTATACGCCTTTGCACGATCCAAAATCAGCCACCTTCAACGTGCCGTCCTCATTTACCAAGAGATTCTCCGGCTTTACATCACGGTGAAATAGACCCGTGCGGTGAGCATGGTCAAGTCCCTTAAGAAGCTGGTACATAAAGCTCATGATCCGTTCCTCGCCAAGGTACTGTCGACGCCCCTTGATGAGTTCATACAAATTCATCTCCATGTACTCAAAGACCAGAGCCAGTCGTCCTGTTGACCGGTCGAACATCACCTCAATGAGCTGAACTATGTTTGGATGCGGCTGCAGTCGTCGCACCGCCTGAATCTCACGCAGACGATTCACCTGCTCCTTTGACTTGAAAAGCCTTTTCATGCATTTAATCGCCACAAAACGCTTTGTCTCTATATCCTGTGCTTTAAGGACCTCACTAAAAGTACCCTCCCCCTTCTTGCCAAGGATCCTGTACTTTTGCATTGGAACTAAAAAATATCCACCTGCGTTTTTCTTTCTCGTCTTTATCGAGCTTTGTTGTTGTTGTTGTTCGTGTTTCTCCTTTTCTCCCCCCTCACCGCCTCTTCTCTAACAAACACAGGCAGACAGACAGCCACCGACACGTGGGGAGTGCTTCGGTGTCCCTCTTGCTTCTCGTTCTTGCACGCACAACCAAACAAACAAACAAAAAAAGTTTAATTTCGCCTCCCTTCAAAATTAACGAAAAAAAAAAAAAACAAAAAAAAAAAACGATGCACGCGGCAACCGGCAATAAATCACGCTCGCAGCCCCGACGCACACACTCCACCCCCTCTTCTGCGGACAGAATTTAGGGAGTGGATGAAATAATGCGTCACCTACGACTTACTTCCCCGCTCCGAGTACTCCTCCTACCGCCACTGCACGCACAAATTCGAAGCCTTTTTTTTTTTTTTTTTTCACACCGCCAAACAAATCAAAAAAAAAAAAAAAAAAGAAGAAAAGAAAATTATTATTTTCTTCACAGAAACACATAAAATTGTAAGCAGTGAACATGTCGCTGTCGCTGCCACCATCACATAATAATAATCACAAACGAATACAATTAAAATTTTATCGCATCTTCCAAATCGATATAAATATTTTTATTATTTTAAGGTTTACACACAGACACACGCGCACATTATATAGAAATATATATTTACTTTACAATACACACATTACAGCGACTCCCTTCACAATTCTCTATCGTAAACAAACAAACAAACAACAAAAAAAAAAAAATAATAAATAAAATAAATAAACAGAAAGGAAGGGAACTTCTAATTTATCTTTTTATTCGATTTCACATATAACGCCAAGCTAATACCAAAGAAAAATGAAAGTGCACAAACATACAAATGTCATATAAATATCTTCCTAAGGCTTCACCGCATTCGACTAAGTGAAATCACATGTATATATATATATTTTTTTTTTAAAGAAAAGAAAAGAAAAGAAAAGAAAAAAAAGAAAAAAAAAAGACGGGGAGGGGTCCAAAATTGATTGACTGCATTGGAAGATTCGACTTTCTGATAACTACGATGACTTCTTTATCACCAGTGTCCAAAATTCCCACAGGCTGGTCCAACCGTCGTCTTCTCTTCGCTTATCCTCTCCGCGCACTGGTAGTCTCCATGCGGTAAAAATACCTCAACGGCCACAAATGTTGGATTTCTATCCGAATCCTCCGTCTCCTCATTGGATACGCAGCACGGCCACCAGCCAATTAAAAGCTGCAATTGCCATGGCGCACCGTCTGGTGAATGACGCAACACCAGAAATGTGGTAACCGTGATGTAAAACGATACAAGGATATCGTCCGTGTAGTGGGAACGTGAGGCAATAATGGAGTAAAAGGAAAGAAGAACCAATAAAACTGAGGCTGGTCGAAACACCCAATGCAACATCGAACCATAAATCCACTGAACCAGGAGACTGAGCGTGATGGAGACCGTATGACCGCTAAACATGAGGTCCCCACAGTGGATGGACCCACTCCCAAAAGTCACCAACGTCATAATCACGTTTTTTACCGGATTTGTAATTTTCATTGGGTTCTGGCAATGGTTGTCCGTTGCAGGATACGATGTCATGACAACAACAATTGCGCGAAATAGCAGAACAATAAAATAAGTAGTAAAATAACGAATCCAGGCAATAAGGTGAGCATCCCGTTTTTCAATTCCAGATTGACGACCGCTGTCCCACACTCCAAAAATAATTTTGCCAATTAATGGGCAGCAACTGAAGGGCTGCAGTTCGTCAAGTCCCTCATTTTGACGATGGAGCAGATACAGCTTGAACACAACCAGCAAACTAAGAAAGTTAAGGATGAAGATGCAAACATCGGTTAAATGCTCCAGCCAGCCAACCTTCGGAAACACCTCAAACCCAATGTCTGGCAGCGGCCGGACAACTTTTGGGTCCGGCATTCGTGCATTAGTTACCAAAAGTGCGACTGCAAGAATTAAAACGGAAAGCAAAAGCAGCAGCACAAACCGAATAGCCTGCGTTTTCAGTGGCAGCAGTCTAAGTGCAGAATGAGGCCCCATTAAAACCATGCAGTTTCCTAGTTTATACTTTATAAAAAAAAACAAAAAACACAAAAGCGAGCTACACAGTTGCTATACTGCAGAGGAGCCAGCGAATGATAAAAAAAAAAAAAAAAAGAAAAAAAAAGGGAAGAGCGGCAAAGATGTATACGGCCTCGGAACCCTTGTGTCTCCACCACCATTCTTCGCCCAAAGGAAAAGGAAAGCACACCTGTTTAGAAAACAGCCAAAAACAATGCATAGACGCCCCAGAAGTCCAACAACAACAGTAATAATAATAACGAATTAAATAAGAGTGGGTAAAATTGATCATATTGGGACAGGATGGACAAGAAGGGTATTGCCGTCCCAAATTCCAGCCGCAACAGGCGTGCTTGAAAAAACGACACAAGAAATAAATAAATCAACAAACGCATCACCCGCACAAGTCAAGAACTTATTGACATGGCAAGGAAAAATTTATCACAATGAACAAAGGGAATTCCCTGCCCCAATGGAAGGCGTGCCCGTCTCTGTGACTTTGTGGAAACCTTAAAAAAAAGGTGCTCTAGTAGTGCTAGTCGTAGTTGTTGTTGTTGTTGTTGTGGTGGTGGTGGTGGTTGCGTTAGCAGCGTTTTTGTCCTTTGACATGTTTTCGTACCGGATCTCCAGGATAATATTAACTGTTGCCGCCAATACGATACAAACTAAGAGTGCTACAAGGGGCAGATGATGGCCATAGCGTAACAGCCATACATTCACGTTGCCGCCCACCCCCTCACTCCCGCGCATTCTAATGCTATGACTAACTGACGCATTCGTATTGTATGCGCAAAACAACAACAAAAAAAGAAGAAAAAAAAAACAGAATAAATAAGAATCGCACAAACAGACGGCAAAAACTGTCCAATAACGCTGTGAAGACCGAGGAGACCAAATGTAAAGGATCAAAAAAGAAAAAAAAATGGAATATGCACCTGGGCCGCTTGCAGAATCCTGAAGTTACCACTAATAGAAACCAAACAAGATAGAAATAAGAAAAGGGATGCATGGAATGAGAATGGATTCACCATATCCTCAATGCTTAAAAGCAACCAGGTACATATATATATATATATATATATATATATACATCATCCGTTAGCCACAATTGTGACCCATTCACTCTATTCGGATGGTATATATATATATATATTGTATATTTATATTACTTACGAAGTGGCAGACTTTGGGCTCCTGCAGCCACACGACCCCGCCGCAGGGTGGGGATCAAAAAGTGGGCGGGCGGGACGGCAAAAGCAAAAAAATATTAAAAACCGTCCGGACACCACTGCCTCCCTGCTTCCCAGAACCGGGCCAATCAAAGATCCATAAAATAGGGACAAACATTCCAATTGCTTTTGTCTTTGGCCTTTCTGCCGGGATTGGGCAAGGCAAAAGGAATGAAAAGAAGGGCTGCGGCAACGGTTCCGGGATCAGGAACTGCACCGTGGAGCTTTGCGCCTTGCGCGAGGATTCCTGGCGGCAAAGCCGCATGGCACCCCGGAACGTGCCCGACACGCCCTAAACATGTTGCTTTCGTTTTCCAAAGAACAACGCAAATGCGCTCGATTGTTCGAGGATCAAAAGTAACACTTCGTAAGCCATAAATACATATGTATCCAATCCGAATAAAGCGTTCAACGTGTCACGAGAGTGGGTCCACCAGAATATATAAATATGCGGAGCAAACAACGAGGATTTGGCCAACCCGCTGCTTCTCCATTTACGCATTCTTCTTTTTCGTCGTATTTTATTTGTATTAAATCGTTTGGTGGCCAGCAGCCCAGGCGAATATTCCTTCCTTCCTTTTCCTCTTTGCGTGTGTGCCACAGACACGGTTTGATTCAATTGCCAGTGGCGCCTCCACGCAATCACATCTTTCTGCCGTCGCATTTGCGGGCAAATGGGTTTGGGCATCCAGAACACACACACACACACACGCACACGGCCGCGACGAGAGGGACGGGGCACGTCCAAGTCCACGGCGCAGTCTTTCACTTCTCTCCGCCTCACAGCAGGCGGTGGCGGGTGGCGTCCCACACTCACAGTGAGGCACGGCGCACACCATCCGCTCACTTCGAGTGCGCTCAGCAGACCGGCGCCCAGTCACCCTCGTGCCATCGCAGAGGGGAGCGCAAACAACCGTCGTCGCAGACCATCGGTGCCACTAGCAGGAAAGAAAAATAAGAAGAAATGGGGGCGTGTCAGCAGCAAAACCAGCAGAGAAACAATAAAAGGGCACGGAGACACACAGTGACATGGGACACGGCACGGACGGGGACGAAACTCTAGTGATTTACCAAAAGAAAAAAAACAAACACACACACACAAAAAAAAAGAAGACGGGGAGTCCGGCATGACTCCCAAAAAAAAAAAAAAAATTTAAAAAATGAAAAAAAAACTAAAATAATTAAAAAAAAAAAAAAAAGAAAAGAAAAAGAAAAAAAAAACAATTGATTCGGCGGAAATTCCATTTCATGTTCTCTGCAGCACAATACGACCGTGTTTTTGAGTTCATACATACTGCTCACAGAAAAACAAGAAAAGGAAATCACAGTGTTCCACGAGTCCACACAAAATCCCTCACATTCCATGCGGCATCCGGCCTGCTCCTCCACTCCTCCTCCTGTGCAGTCCGTGGGACGCACAGCAATGAGGCCGGCACCGCGTGTGGTCAAAAAAAGCAAACAAGAGGGGGAAACACGTCACTCATGACGGTGTGCAGCAAGGAACCATTGGGGGGAAAACACACAGGGATGCTGGTTATTTCAACTGAGCACCAGCAAAAAACTAAAAAAGCAAAAAAAAAAAAAAAAAAAAAAGAAAAGAAAAAGAAAAAAAACAATTGATTCGGCGGAGATTCCATTTCATGTTCTCTGCAGCACAATACGACCGTGTTTTTGAGTTCATACATACTGCCCACAGAAAAACAAGAAAAGGAAATCACAGTATTCCACGAGCCCACACAAAATCCCTCACATTCCATGCGGCATCCGGCCTGCTCCTTCACTCCTCATCCTGTGCAGTCCGTGGGACGCACAGCAATGAGGCCGGCACCGCGTGTGGGCAAAAAAAAGCAAAAAAAAAGAAAAATGAAATGAAAATAAAAATAAAAAAAGTATCCTTCACAAAGTTGAGTGCGTAGTGCTGGGAAGCTGCACATTCGTTGTTCCACGAAAAGCCGCAATTCCACCCTTCCTCACACCTCAGCAGAGCGCCGCAGTGCCCCACAGCCCCAGAAGCAGCAGCAACACCCGAGACACACACCCGTGCACGGTGCTGTCACCAATTAGAGCCATGGCCGCCAAATCGCCGAGCTGCCCGTGCTCAAGCAAAAGTTCATGGTCCGAGGGTATTGTTGCATTGAGCTCCGATGGGATCTTGGTTTCCACAGGCGCTGTGCTCGAATGAGTCGGTGCGGCATTAGCGCCACCCGACACGTTATCATTGCGGTGGGCAGTTGCTGGGTCTGTGCTGCTGTTCGTGCCCACGGCAGTGAGGACATCCGTGTCCTCTTCACGGTCAATGCTGTGCTGCATCGAATCGTTGGTGGTTACATTCCGCGAAGAGTCTTCATCCGCCTTGCCTGCCTGCTCCATCGTCGACGCAGCCCCGTTGGTAGGCGAGTACTCCTGGTCACCTTCCATGTGCACCCCACTGACAGACTCCTCGGTTTCAGGTACTTCACGACGAACGCCTGCGCTCGGTGTTGGAGACAATGCAGGCAGCAATTCAACACTGCTGCTGGGTGCCTCTTCTTTCACTTCCCACGCAGCAGCTGAGGTGGACAAGTCAAGGACAGAAGGAGAAGATGCTTCCCTGGAAACGGCTGGGCCATTTGCATTTCCTGATGGCTGTGCTTCATTCGTGACGACGGGCTCATCGGCGGGTTGACCAGAAGATTGACTCGCAACAATCGTTTGAGTCGCAACATTCGGAGCCGGCACCTCCGCATCTGGAGTGCCAACAGTGTTCTTCTTCATTAGTGGTTTGAGCTGGGCTTTGTTAAATGCGCGGCTGTACAACAGGACGTTGCTCACAGTCACATTAATGTTGTCCGAGTCCCTCTCGCTGTCCCCGCCAATGTAAAAGTGCGAGATGCTGTGGGAGCTCATTAGGCTTCGAAGGGCTCCAGCAAAGCCGTAATCATCCTCATAGTCCTCCTCTTCGCTGTCGTATATCGTCTCTCCATCCACGTACACCATCAACCCATCATCAGACTCCATATGCAGTGCCACATGATATTTCGTGTTTGGTTCCCATCTGAGGTCGTCACCATGCGTCAGCTCCAGGAAACTGCCGTTGAATGCTACCCTCCACTTTTTGTCGTGGGTGTACGACAGACCAAAGATCAGCGTGCTGTCGGTTTCACTCAGCTTCACACCCATCAAAGGAATGGGGCTGCTGCTGCCTTCCGTCGGCACCTTGTGGATGGACACCGTCGCCATGAGGGTGAACTTTTCATTCGCAAAGTAGTACGGCACATTCTGCCCCATTTTGCCAACAGGCCACTCCGCCCCCGCTCCAGACCCTTGAAACGTCAATCCACCATCAGCCCCTGGCACCCCATTCTTCACGGTGGCATTCACGCAGAGGTACTCGTCACTCCATGTATTCCCAGTTGACGTGTTGGATAAGAAGCCAACCAGCCCTTTAGTGAGGTCTTATCGTCACAGTCACTGCTCCAATTATTCTTTTCATTCCCGCAACTGTATTCCTTTTCAATGTACGCGTCCTTCTCCTTCCATGCAGCCAACACCTTCCTCACGTCCTCCAACCTCTCCGTCAAGTCCAAAAAGGCAATGGTGTACTTCCCTCCCTCTGCAGCAGCGACCTCGTACGAGCAGTACAGTTTTTCCTTTTCCTTATTCGGTTCTCCCCCTTTCAACGATGACGCTTTGGCTGCGACGTACAGCAGAGTGCTGGCGGCGACGTTCTCACCCACAGCGGATATCTGCCCAACATCATAAATTCGCTGCATGTCCGTC